ACGGGGGGCACCCGAGTCCGGGCAGGAGCTCGCTGAAGCTCAGGCCCGACACGGTGAGGTCGTACCTAACGAGATGACTGGCAGCAGACCCAAGGGCTCGCTGTGCCTGGCAGACCGACCCGAAAGAGAAACAGAGCATTTCCTGTGAAGCAATGCCATCTATGCCCTTCTGAAATTTTCTCGCTCTCTTGTAGAACCCTTGTAAGCAATGACGCACATTCATACCATTCCCAATGCAAATTGATAATATTAATCCCAAAATGCATCCGAGCCGTCTAAACGGAGAAGAGCAACGGCCCCACAGGCATGATGTTTAGGGGGTCAGCTCCACTCGCCATTGCCCGCTAGGATGCTGCTCTGCTGCGTGTAAATTATTGGAGGTGGCCTGGGAGGCAGCTGGGTGGTGTGGCCAGGGAAGGAGCAAGGACGGGAGCGACATGCTAGGCCAGCCCAGGGAGGTCCCTAGGTACTCGGTACAAGCACGTCCCTTACCTGCAGCGCACCTTTCACAGTGGACGGCCAGCAGGTGAGGAGCCCGTCCCGCCCTGTCCTGAGCGCCAAGCTCTCGACGTCCAGTGCCATAGCCACTTTGGGGCCGCGCTCTCGTATTACTGAGCGACAGGCAACCTCACTAGCGGGTGAGCACTCGCTCACCTCGCTCGAGTTTCAGTCCCTGGCAGCCCTTCTCCTGTCCTTCTCCAATTGCTTCGCTCCTTGCCTCCTTGCCTTCCAACCTCCATCGCCGCCTCTTCTCTTCTCATTCTACTACATCATCGTTGCATCTTCTCCTTTCTGCATTTTCGTTCTTTTTTTTCTGGTTCCTTCTTTTCCTTTCGAGTGCCCCCCTTTTATATTCCCACTCGCCATACTCCCTTGGCCGCCCCTGCGTCGCCCATCTGCCTCACTCACGCCCCTGAGCCAGGCCACGGTCTCCTTTGTAACTCGACCCCCCTTTCCAGTCGACGTTTTACAAACGAACCCTCCGACCCGATCATCTTCGGCCTCTCACACCGGCCAGGAGATTGTACTGGGTTACGTTGTAGACGCAGCCGTTGTCTCCATAGCCCCCATTTGCTCGATCTGGCCTATGTCGTCGTTTGTTTGACGCGTTTTTATCGACAGGTCTTCTTGCCTGCTCGACCCGTAACCGACGACCCCAAAACCCTAGCCGCTCGATACTATACCATTTGAACCTTCGACGAGCAATTTACGCGGTATTTTGATTGGCGATTCCGAAACTTGGTCTTGATTGCAGAGTAACTCGTGGTAGCAGCGAGTTCTCATATCCATCCACCCAAATATTTGCCTTAATCCCCCCTTGGCCGCTGGCGTCCTCTAGCTCTCTCAGCCAACACTTTGCATACTCGCTGTCTTTCCGTCGACGTCCAAACCGGTTAGACGAATTGCCCCCAAAAAAAAGAAGAAAAGAAAACAAGCCAAGACCAAAAACATCAACGAAGCCAAACACCCCCAAACGTTCCCCACAAGAGGTAGTTTGGTATATTTGCGAATCTTGATTGAGTTGGGTCTTGCCAAGCCCATTGCGAGCATCATTGTCACAAGCTACATAGATTGCAGCTTACCGCGGGCTCTTCACCTTTCATAGACGCACTCTGAAGACAAATTATGGCCGCGTTGGTTCAAACATATACAAAAGAGACGGCACCAATCACGATGTTTCAGACTCGACCTACTTCTGCCACAGGCCGTATGCCATCTGGCCAGCAGACTCACCAGTACTTAGGATCCATGGCGCAATCCCCGAGAACAGCGACCCAGTTTGGTGCTACACCTGGCTACCGTGGCTCAACCCCGATTCAACAATATGCCTTCACGAGCACCCCGAGCTTAAATCAGAGCAACCAGTGGCAAGGGCAGAAAGGGAGCACATCTCCGGCACCACAGGCCTCGCCTGCTCCACGTTCTCCCTCATCCAGTGTATCTGCTGGATCGACAGGCAAAGCTGCCCCGGAGCGGTACAGGAGAAATAACGTCCAGGCAAGCAACAATAATCACGGTCGATCCCAAAGCGCCACATTGCCATCGACAGCGAACCTCCCCAATACTTCTCAATTCTACGGAGTATCGAACAACTCGAAGACCGCGTTGCCCAATCGCCCTGCAAGTTTCTACGCAACCATTCCTGGGGGTTCAATGGATGACATGCATCTCCATCAGCCATCCCAAGATGCGAAAACTATGCGCCGACGAAGCATCCAGAGTCTGGAGTCGCTGACTGCGTTCAAGCCACCGTCATCGGAGCCGGTGAAGGTTGATAAGGATGCAAAGACTCTCCGTCCTTCCTTGCCAAATCCTTCAGTTCACTCTCGCAGCGGAAGCTCAGAGAGCGTTGGTTCCAGCCGTAGCACCCACTCTCGTCCTTCTGTAAGTCTTGGCAAAATCGCCAACCTCCATTTCATAGTATGCCTTCCGCTAACAAATGGTCAATCGTTAGTCTGCAAGTCGAGGATCCGCCAACCATACAAACAACACCTCTTCGACACCAACCGAAGAGACGTCGAAGCAAGAACAGCCCAAGTTAGCAACTGCTCCTACTCGCGGAAGCTACTCTGATGCTCTCAAGCGTGGCCACAACCCATCACCTTTATCGCGACCGGTCACCATGTCTGGCGAAGCTACCGAGAAGCCAGCTACTCCCACTAGCAACTTGGACAGCCCTGCAGCGAAACAATTGGCAGCAATTAACCAGAAGGGTGCAAAGGGCAAGAGCAAAACCTCTAGGTTGCGGCGAGCATTTTCCTTTGGTAGTGCCTCCGAACTACGAAAGGTTGAGGAGGAGAACAACGAGAAGAAGGAAGCAGCTAGCAAAATGCAGAAGAAGCAAACCCCCGAGGAAGCATACGAGTCTGAGCAGGCCCGGATCGCAGAAGCCCAAGAGGCGGGCGGCATTGGAAACAGCATCTACGGCGGTCGTTTCTTTGGATCCACAGATAATCTCTCGATATCCTCCACAGCTTCTTCGGCTTCCATCATGATCCGCAAGATGGGAAGAGGGATGAAGAAGGGCACCCGTTCACTTGCCGGCCTCTTCCGCCCTAAGTCTGTCATTGGTGTACCACCTCCCGAACCCCTGGCCCCCGAGACGAGTCAGACAGCTGTCTCCATGGTCACCGTTGAAGCTGAGACGCAACGTGTGAACGTATCTGCTGAACCCAAGACTTCAGATAACTTCCCCCATCTTGAGCGGAACTCGTTAGACGCTTCTCAGATTCCTGACATGGTGAATGAGAGACTGGGCAGCTCGGGAACTGACAACTCGAATTCCCGAAAGAGTATTGTGGGAGGTGACAAGGAGCGAGCTGAGGCCCTTGCTGCTGTGCGCAAGGGTATCTTGAAGCGTATGTGTTCTGCATTTGGTCCCCTTGCTTGTCATTTTGACTAACATTGCCGATAGGATCTGGAAGCCCAAACAACCGTGGTGCTGAGTCTGGACTTGAACTCCCCAATGTCCCGGCTGTGTCTGATTCGCCAAATTCAAGTGCTCCCAGCACACCAAACGATGATGGCCAAGGCCATCGCAGAACTGGCTCGATTGCTTTAGGAAATGAAGACTACTTCATGACTGCTCTTCGCCTTCGCCAGGACACTAAGACTGCACCTCCAACTCCTCACGCGAAGCGCAATGCCACATTCTCTCCTCGCCTCATCTTTCATGATACCTGGCCACCACAAGAGTATGATAGACGAGGTGAGATTGCTACTTGCAATCGTCTCACGCCTATGCTAGCTCAGCAGATTAAGGAAGAGCTCAATACTTTCAAAATGGTATGTTTCCCCTCTGTACCTTAATCACCATTGGTTTGCCAATACTGACCTCGAGTTTAGGAGATGGAAGTCCATGAGACCTCAAAGATCTACACTCACTTCTTCTAATTGACGCCTCGCTCAGTCAAATTTGCCGACTGTGACCAAATTTTGGTCCACAGGAAATCACCGGCGCGCAACATTATGTACTCACAACCAAAGGAACCATCCATAGGCGTTCAGGGACAGCATTGTAAGGTGTCAATGGCGTTTCGTCATTTTGTTTTTTTCTCCCATTTGTGGAATTTAGACCACCGGGTCGTATATCAAGTTAATCTTAAGGCAATTTTGGTGCAGTGGACAGGGATATGCTCACGCATTTTATAAAGTGGTTGGAGATGAATCGCCAGGTACAGGGCAGACTCTCTTTTCATTACTCTGCTATTACCAGGTCACCCATTCCTTTCTTCTCTCTTTCTTTTCATTTACTCTTTTCCCTTATTGTTCGAAGCGACAACGTTGGCAAAGCACATATTCTTATGTACAGGATGAACATGGGGTTATGTCTGAAAGGACAAAAATGCTGACCATGGAATGGAAACAAGACATTGAATATGGCGACACCGATTTGGTAGGCAAGTTGACCTTGCATGGAGGAAGGCTTCTTTCCTCATTAATTTGGGATGTCATGGTAGAATGGTCTTATTATTTATAGCTGGATCAGTCAACGAAATAAGTGAGACGTTATAGAGATGTTTCCTCTCTACAAATATGATTATCGTCATCCTGGAATTTTGAATGGGGCGTGATAAAACTAGATCTGTCTGTTTCAAGTGACTCGGCTCGGGGTTTGCCTGGGAGCTGCCAAGCAAGCTCTCCAGATCTGAGCATCTAGGGAATTGCTTGTGGGTTCGGGCAAATATGGAGACTGTTGTCCCCGGCTCCTTGGCGCTTCGGCAGCTTGTTTCAGCCACAACTGGGTCTACTAGCCACTAGTCACAAGCCACAGTGTTGTCATACCTTCACTTTTTTTTTTCCCCGGTGGCTCGCCTCCACATGCAAGTAGAGCGGCTCAAACCCCACGCCCGTGCTTGAAATTCTCAGGCTGATAAAGAACGAAGGCGGCCAAGCCAGGTCTTCCCAGGGACTTATCTATGTGGCTGGCTCCTCGGCCCTCAAATTGTCTGTATCTTGGATCTTTGCTCCGTTCCGCACTACGAAGGAGTTTCGCGACGATGGCGGCGACCCAAGAAAATGGGGCTGCGAAGCCGACATCGACCCCCAGCACTGGGAGTTCCAAGTTGCATGGGCGGGATTTCTATGAGAGCATTGGGAAGCCCAAGTTTATTGTAGCACCCATGGTAGATCAATCTGAGTTTGTGAGTCCCCTTGCGAAAAAAATCGACACTCATCGCCCTCGTTCGGTTTTGCGCCATGACTTGAAGTCTTTGGTGTCCCCCCAAGCATCACCTGTTTCTAAGACGACGCTGTTTCTAGGCCTGGCGAATGCTCACGCGATCCTTCATCCCCGCCTCGGAGCAGTCGAGCCTGCTTGCGTACACGCCCATGTTCCACGCGCGACTCTTCGCCCAGGACGAGAAGTACCGAGCCGCACACTTCCAGGCCGTAAGGCCGGCGTCCGAGTCCAAGGAGCCCTGGCTCGACGGGAACCCGTCCATCGACCGGCCGCTCTTCGTGCAGTTCTGCGCCAACGATCCGGAATACCTCCTCGAGGCCGCGAAGAAGGTGGCGCCGTACTGCGACGCCGTGGACCTGAACCTCGGGTGCCCGCAGGGCATCGCGCGCAAGGGCCGCTACGGCGCCTTCCTGCAGGAGGACCAGGAGCTCATCTTCCGGCTGATCAACACGCTGCACAGGGAGCTGCCGATCCCCGTGACGGCCAAGATCCGCATCCTCGAGACGGAGGAGAAGACCCTCGCCTACGCCAGGAACGTCCTCGCGGCAGGGGCGTCCATCCTGACGGTGCACGGGCGCCGGAGGGAGCAGAAGGGCCACCTGACGGGCACGGCCGACTGGAAGATGCTGCGGTTCCTGAGGGACAACCTGCCCCCCGAGACGGTCATGTTCGCCAACGGGAACATCCTGCAAGGGGGCGACGTCGAGAAGTGCCTGGAGGCGACGGGCGCGGACGGCGTCATGAGCGCCGAGGGCAACCTGAGCGACCCCTCCATCTTCGGCATCCCTCCTCCCACCGGTGAGGAGGGCAGGGAGTACTGGAGGGGTAAAGACGGCAAGGGCGGCTGGAGAGTGGACGCGGTCACGAGACGCTACCTGGACCTGCTGCACAAGTACGCCCTCGAGGAGCCGTCGGCTCCCCCCCAGAGACGGCCCCTCTTCGTGCCCGGGGACGACACCGCGTGGCTGACCGAGGCGGCCAACAAGGAAACCGACGACGAAGACGGACCCCCCCGGAAGAAGCGCAAGCCGACCAAGCGCCTCGAGACGTCGCCCAACCTCTCCGCCGTCCAGCCGCACCTCTTCCACCTGCTCCGCCACTTCGTCTCCCGGCACACCGACGTGCGCGACATCCTCGCCCGGAGCCCCCGCGAGGGCATGGAGGGCTACGAGCGCGTCCTCGCCGCCGTGGAGCGGAAGGTCGCCGAGGGCCTGATCGAGTACGAGCGCACGGGCGGGAAGAGCTACGAGGACGAGGTGCGCGAGCTCTACGAGAGGGAGGACGGGCCGGAGGGCGAGAGCTCGGTGCCCACGCTGAAGCGGTGCAAGAGGCCCTGGTGGGTGGTCCAGCCCATCATCCGGCCGCTGCCCTCCGAGGCCATGGCCAAGGGGGCCATCAGGCCCAGCAAGAAGGATCTCAAGGCCGGGGAGAACGGGCAGCAGCAGCAGCAGAACCAGAAGGAGGCGAAGGAGAGCAGCCAGGCGAATGGCGACGGCGCAGAGGGCGAGACCACACCGCACCCGGCAGTAGCTGAGGTCCAGCTCACTGAGCAGGCGAAAGAGATTGCCTCGCGTGATGAGCTGGTCTCGGGCTAATGGGGGGAATAATCGCCAAATTTCGTTTATGAGAAAAAATAGAGACGTGTCCTAGATGATATAGACTATAAGATATGCCGTCGAGGCAGAATAAGAAATATAATACGGAAATACCTAAGAGGTTAGGCCTATGGATGAAGAACCGGTGTTGAGACTGGGCTACGGATGTGTTTCACGGCAATGAGGGATACGAGGGCTTAGAATCGAAGCAGAAGACGTGTATATATTTTGACAATTGACTCCTAGATTTGAATCAATCACCCAAACTCCGATGCTATGATTGTATACAGGAAGAAAAAAAAAATCAAAGGGTATTGAATTGAGTAAATGCAGACAACAAGATCCCTAATATTTATCAAATGATTTGAGATTTATGGGGTTGGAAATACGGTTTGGAAGGAAATGTTCTCGCCCCCAAGAAAAGTGCCCCAATCCAATTCATTGAATGGATCATCGTACCACCCGAACATGTCCAAGCTTCGGGACGTGACGGATGGCGTGGAAAGTGCTTGGTCATACTCGGCAGTCAAGGCATCGTAAAGGGCGGACACAATATCTGGGGAACGGTCAGACGCCCTCATCCAAGGCCTCATCTCAGCGAAACTCTCAAGGGCTTTGGCCAAACTCGCCCTGCACATGGCAACCCGATCGACGGCGGAGGTTTCCATGTTCTTATCCACGGCGATCGCCAATAGGGGAGTCATGCAGGCTTGGAAAAGATACCACGCAGCGTTCCAGACATGAACTCTGTTTGGGGTCCAGTAGAGCGCGATTGCATCAATGGTCTCGCTTGCCACCGAGCAACATGAGTCCAATAGCCTCTGTGGTTCCGGGGGTAGTTCTGTGATATTCTTTCGATGGCCGTGGGCCACATAGAGGAAGGACGATCGTGTAAGTAGCATTCGGGCGTTGAGGTATCTCGTTCGCATGAACTCTCGAGCAATTTGAAAGCCTTGACGTGCTGAAGACGGCTCAGTGATGCAGGGCGGCAAGCTCTCATACCACTGCACGAGTTCCTGATCGAAGGAGATGACCTCTTCCAGTGAGAGTCTGCCGGATCGGGCGAATCTTTGCTGCATCCTGTCGCAGATAAGACAGAAGCTGGAACTGGCCTGGAGTGAAATAATGGCGTGGTCTTGTGGGGATGAGGCTGTGGGAAACTGAGTGTCCATTGTGGTATTGTCCCAGCGTCCGCAGGTTGGTCTGCCGTGAGTCATAGCTCCCCAAGTGTCCAGGCAGAAGAGGCTCCACCAAGTTCTTCTCCGAGTCTGAATATGTTTTTGGTGGATGGCTTCTGTTTCTGGATCGTCGCCCATCGCCTTCTGACGAGGCTCACGATGCAAACCAAGGGCTATGGCTATGCGGTGAGCAGCCCCCAGGACACTGTAAGCCATGTTGGGCGAGTTGCGATAGTGTAGGTAGTAGCCACCAAGGAGGCATAGAGCATGCAGACTGTCAAGGTTACCTGCCCCTAAGCTGTCGAGATTGACGAAAGACCGAGCTTGGTGGTAATAGTATTCGTGAAGACTATCACTTCCCGATGAGATGGAGCCCATGACAAAGACCATGTTGAGGAGGCCTTTCCATGATGCATCCTGTCGAGCCCCAGAAAGATAATCTCGGCGAAAATCTTCTTCATCAAGGAGAGGGGTAATGGAATGGACACTATCGAAGTAGAAGTCAATACAGCGTTGCTCCTTAAGCCTGTCCCTCTCCAGATAGGAAACTGGTGGCAGGGGTTGTGACGGGATTGCCGCCCAAGCCTTGGAACATCTCACTGTATGTTCCTTGGCAGCGGGGCATAGACGAAAGATGCCCCTGATGATGGCGCTCATCGAAGTCATTCCCAGATAGGAACGAATTTGGCTATCCGTTGTAAGACCAAAGGCGTTGACATCGTCGCTGGCCACGCTGCACGGCTCCTGGTGCGTCTCGTCCCATCGTCTTACCACAGGTGGCTCGCCATTTTCAGACACGGCGGCAGAGTCATCCGCATCTGTTTGATGCGGCGCTGTATCTTCTGGCCCTGCTCCTCCTTGATTCAATGATAATCGCAGAGTATCTCTGCGAGATGAATGAATAAATGCAAGAGCATTCGGATTAGTAGTACTGGGAAGGAGATTCAGAAGTTCAAGAGCCCCCTTGCCTTTGAGATCTGACAAGGGAATGCCGGGGAACAGGGTATCGAGGATTTCTGATTGAGTCCGTATCTGTTCCGAGGCTTTGTCGAAAGTGCTATACTTTGCGTGTTAGATCCAATATGGAACCCAACATGAAGGCAAAGCTCTTCTCGCGTGGGCAGGGGGAGGACGGCTTACCTCCTGCTTACAGCATTCCTCTTCAAGCGTTGACGGTAGGCGCAAGCATCTGGTGACCTGTAGTAGACACAGCTGGCACAGGGAAGGCGGCCATCACACTTGACCTTGCGTCTAGTGCATTCCAAACAAGAACGATTGACCCTGCGGGTGGACAGTTCGGGGTCTTGAGATGATGCTAAGGAGCTCCCGTGAGGGGTATCGGGGGGCTGAGAGGGCATGGCTGCTGGGTGGTGGGATGGTTCTGGTTGCCACCGCACGCAATGACGGTCATTCCCACGGCTGCATCAGAGCGATATTGGTTGTCAAGGAGTACTTGTGTCGGCCGTCACCAGAGCGAGGTTGGGCATGGCTTGTGATGTGATGTGATGTGAGTAGCGCACGACACCACATGGTATGATGGATGTGGAGAAGGAGGACCTGCAAATCACGAGGAATCCGGGGAGAGGCCTGGAAGGAGAAGGGACCCACCCCAGGGCTCAGGTTTCGGCCAGGCTGGTTTCCGACAATCCTGGTGCGATGCAGGATACTAGGTACTTGGAGAGTGAAGACTGGTTTTTCGAGAAAGTATAGTAGATTAGTTGTTGTATACCTACGCACAACTCTGGAAGCCATCTAGCGATACCAATTTACATGAGTTTGGTTCGTAACTGGAGGCAGAAGTACTAACCTGAGGTACTCATCGGAGACTCCACAGTGACGGCCCGAAGTGCCATTGACTGACACTTTTCCGGTGCCTGGGGTGCACCTTCTTCAGCGGGTTCTTCAGCGGGGAGGTCCCGGAAATTCCCCAAAATGGACCGGTGGCCCCTTCCTTTTCAAGTGCCTCGATCCCATCAAGTCTTCAGTTGGTTTCTGCCCTTCTTTCTCTCATGGAGTTTAGATGATCTAGAGCTGGCCAACAATTCCCTGTTCAACCATCTGATTGTCCATAGGTACCCAGAACAATCGATGATAAGAGAACGTTTTGACGGAAGCACGCCGAGTGCGAAAAGGGCGTATTTCCGGATCTTGCTTCACAGAGCAGAAGAGCCGTCGGACACTGGCTGGATCTGAGGCTTGAGGCCGCAGGAGATGATAGAATGCATCTATGGGAGAGAGACTTAGGACTGAAATAGCCCTCATTCCTACTTAGTGTTCCTCGAGCCACGGCGTCCCGCATATATACAGCATGGCCTATGCTGCAGATGCAACAATGCCAAACCTGTCCTTTCTGGACAAGCTATCGGTGGTATTAGTGGCGCACCGTCTCCGAGACACTCTTGGACGAAGAGAGCCATATACAGACTGGTAACTCTCAGAAGCTGGTACAGGCGTGACTGGGAAACATGTTGTGTTTGAGGCAGGTCGCCACCTTCCACCTTTACTGATCCGGAGAAGGCGACAATGTCACCGGAGAGATAGTTTCTGGACCGTCTTTAATTTGAACAGTGAGAGACACCAATGGCCCAATGTGTGACAACAGAGACAGGGATAACAGGTCGCAAGAAGTAGGTTTCACTCTGCCATGAGAGCAGCAGACTGCCTTGATGATCAGGAGTGTCGAGATATGTTGCTGTGAGCTTGACCTGGAACTCGCCTTCCTTCGCGAGCCGACGTCGAGCTTGTTAAGAAACTTACTCATAGACTTCTCCATTTGTCCCATGCAGTACAATAGTTTTTGAAAGCGATGACTTTGCAGAGGAGCGCACGAACCTATCCTTGGTGTCTAGACCCATGACTACGATTTTTGAGCTTATTTGATCGCTCTACTATCTTGGAATTGTCCTCAAACACCAATATTCAACCGGAAATACCTCAAGTCGGGCTCAACCACACATCAATCTCGCTCCTCTATCACACAAGAAGATATTTTGCATATTTGGGAGGCTCTTCGTCGATGGAAGAGGCCCGGCCATGCCGGCACCCATTCGGATGATGAAAAAGCAGGAAAATTGGAGGAAATACAGAGGAGAGCAATTCAGGCTCCCAAAGGAGGCCCCGATGGAGTGCTCGTTAAAAGACTTGCGAGGGCGAACTCGAGATGCCGAGAGCAGCTCATATATTGGGGCCCTGGGACTCATTCCCGAACTACAACCTGGCCATTCGACAAAACATGATCGCGTGTAAGATACCGAATCTGCTTAATCTATGAATACGTCGATATCTTTAAGAAATGCTCTAGCAGTGTCTGGCATTTTTGGATCGTCACGACGCTCGGCAGAGTCACGGCAGCGGAAAGATGAAGCGGCTCATACATTTTACACCAAAACAGTGGTGGGCGAGAGCCAGTCGGCTAGGGCACCTGATGTGCTAGAGGAATCCAATGCTAATGATACCTGCGAGTGCCCTTACTGTCGCCTACAACTAGAGTCAGCGCCTATGAGAGAAGACAGGAACACTTGGAAGTAAGCAACGTTTGGCACACATCGACAAGCTAAATAGCTGACTTGGTCCCAGGCGCCATGTCTTTGAGGATCTACGGCCATACAGCTTTACTGACCCCTCATGTGTAAACGGGGATAAACTGTACGTGAATGAGAGTGAGTGGATGTATCACAAGATACAAGTTCATCGGCGCCAATGGAGCTGTGGAAACTGCAACTCAACAGTGTATTCTCCGGAAAGACATGACTTCTCATCTCACATCAGTCCACTCTCAGCCCGGGAAAGAAGGACAACTCCCTGTGGTTTTGGAGCTGTACGAGCGACCTTTGGATGACTTATGTCCCACGAACCGTCCCTTATGTCACTATTCAGTCTCTCCCAAGCCCTCTTAAGCCACAAGGGACAACATATGGCAGAGTTGTCATTGTTCGTGCTTCCTCGCTTGGCCGGTAACGGGAGTTAAAACGGAGACAACTCTGCAATGATATAGGCACTCTCTTTCTACAAACTCGATCGGGTGAGATATGGCGCCTGCATAGTGGCCTCTCTTCAAAGGATCCCGGATGTCTCGCAACATATCCTACATACGCACGTAACACCTCTGAACACTTACCGTTCATAATTTTTACTGATTTGGGACCAAGCTCTCAGATGGTAGAGCATCACTCGCATCGGAACTGGGTATAACCTAATGGACTTGAGCATCTCTCCTAGGAGGATGCCACGCACTGAGACCCCATTATTCGAGAACCTTCTGATTTACTAAATGACGAAAAAGTGGTTTCGCATTTGGTCTCATGTTTTTCTAGACTCGGACATTTCAGAAAACTCCGTATCCGGAGTCAAAAATTGAGAGGATTAATTCTACTTAGAGATCCGTGCCAGATTCTATACCTCGATCTGAGAGACAACCCCAATCACTTCCGTTATACGAGAACGGCAACTGTCAACTGTCAGAATGAAAACGGGATTAGGGAAACCCTGAGGGTTTACGACATTATATGGAACATTTCGACCTATAGACTCCTCATCCTGTCTCCCCGGTAGCGGATGCTGGCCGAATCCCACCTTCGATGTTACTTATCTCCTCCCGGACATATATAAACCCGCAACTGTGCGTTGTGGCCCAAGTTTCAGTGGGTAGTTTATAACTAGTCCGGGAATGAAGCTGCATCGTGTTGATTTATTTCCTCTCATGGTATAAGGAAAAGATCAGCCGCCGGGACTCCGCATGGCGTATAATCCCGAACCCACGATGTTTCCATCGTCAATCAACGGCATTATATGGTCTGATATATGTAGACTGTGCTATAGTATTCCACTTATATATTGTAATCGTATCGCTTGTTGTCTCCAACACCAAAACCCCCCCCAATCCTGTCGGAGCATTCGACCTTTCACACAGTAGAGGTTGAAAAAATGGCCACGCACTCCAAGATCCAGCTAGAGAGTGGCTGGGTATTCAAGCAAGAAGATGATGCTTCATCGGATCCATGGCTGCCCGTTTCTCGCGTCCCCACGCAGATCCATATGGACCTTCTCAACAATAAGAAGTGCGTCTCTTCATGTTTCCTTAGGTTGTTAACTAGATTGGGAGGTTGGCTAATATCAGGGAATCAAAAGAATACCAGACCCTTTCGTGGATCTGAACGAGCGCTCTGTCCAGTGGGTAGGAGAGAAATCTTGGGTTTACCGACTATCATTCAAGCTCCCATTTGAAAGCTCCCCCGAGCAGGCAGTAGGCACAGGAGTGAGGACAGATCTGGTCTTTGATGGCCTGGACACCTTCGCCACCGTCACTCTGAATGGGACCAAGATCCTCAGCACAGATAACATGTTTGTCTCTTATCGGGCTGACGTTACGAACATCATCTCAGCTAGCAAACAGAATGAATTGGAGATTGTCTTCGATTCAGCTCTGCTCCGAGGGCGTGACCTCGTCAAGGAGCATGCCTCTGAACACAACTTTCTCGTTCGTCAGACAGAAGCCGGACGCCTGCCAATCAGAAAGTGCCAGTGTAACTGGGGATGGGATTGGGGCCCAATTCTCATGACGGCTGGTCCTTGGAAGCCGGTTTACATTGAGCAATACACAGCCAGGATAGACGATGTCTGGACGCAACATGAAGTCAGTGCTGACCTGGCTGAAGCTTCCGGTAGCATCTTGGTTAAATTGGATGGCGACATCCGCCAGGGGTATAAGACCGTCGTCACTATCTCAGCAGACGGCGGAACAGTTCTGGAGGCGGAAGCTCATGATAATGGCAAGGGCCTAGCGCGAGCCCCCTTCACAATCAAAACCCCGGAGCTTTGGTACCCTCTAACATACGGGAAACAATCTCTGTACAAAGTCGAGGCGAGGTTGGTTGATGAGCAAGGCAAAGTCATCACTTCGTTATCCAAGAGGATAGGCTTCCGACGCACGGAACTCGTCCAGGAATCCGACGAGCACGGCAAGTCGTTCTACTTCCGCATCAACAATGTAGACATCTTCAGTGGCGGATCGTGCTGGATACCCGCAGATACCTACCAGGCGAACATCTCAGACCAGAGATTCCGAGACTGGGTCAAGCTCTTGGCCGACAGCAACCAGACGATGCTACGGATATGGGGCGGCGGTGTTTATGAGCACGACGCCCTCCTGGATGCCTGTGATGAGCTCGGCGTAATAATCTGGCACGACTTTCAGTTTGCGTGTGGAAACTACCCGGTATATGATTCCTATCTAAATAACTTTGAGCTGGAAGCACGACAGCAGATCCGTCGGCTTCGAACACACCCATCGGTAGTGATCTGGGCAGGCAACAACGAGGACTACCAAGTTCAGGAGAGGTATAAGCTGGAGTATAACTACGAAGACAAAGACCCAGAGTCCTGGCGACGGTCAACTTTCCCAGCACGGTACATATACGAACACCTCCTCCCCAAACTCATCCAAGAAGAGGATCCGTACATGATTTATCATCCAAGCAGCCCCTGGGGGGACGGCAAGCCTCTGGACGACCCAACCGTTGGTGACATTCACCAATGGAACAGTAAGTTCTCCCAAGCTTCACCAGCATCTATAGAACCGGTATTGAACTGCATTTGTCACAGTCTGGCACGGCCTCATGAGAAAGTACCAAGACGCCAAATCCATGGGCGGCCGCTTCGTCAGCGAGTTCGGCATGGAGGCATACCCCCATCTCAGCACCCTCAACCGCGTCATCTCGGACCCTTCCCAGCGGTACCCGGGCTCCATGCCCATGGACGCCCACAACAAGGCCATCAACCACGAGCGCCGCATGATGACCTACGTGGTCGAGAACTTCCGCCCGACCAGCCTCGACATCGCCACCTACGCCCACCTCACCCAGATCGTCCAGGCGGAGACGATGCGCTACGTCTACAAGTCCTGGCGCCGCGACTGGGGGAAGCCGGGCAGCCGCAAGTGCGGCGGCGTGCTCGTGTGGCAGCTCAACGACTGCTGGCCCACCGTGTCCTGGGCCGTCGTCGACTACTACCTCGTCCCCAAGCCGGGCTTCTACGCCATCTCTCGGGCCCTGCGTCCCCTCGACGTGGGCGTGATGCGGACGGTGCACGACTGGACCTCGACGCATGATTTCGTGGATGAGAAGTCTGATCTGAAGACCGGCCAGGTCGATCACACCCTCGCAGCGAGAAAGGGGACATTCGACGTCTGGATCGCGAGCAGCCGCATCGAGCCCGTCGAGCTCTCCCTGACGGTCAGCTTCATCTCCGTTCGCTCGGGTGCCGAGGTCCACGGCCAGATAAGACAGACGGTAACTGCCTCCCCCAACGCCACAACAACCATCGTCGACTCTGCCCCCTGTCCGGCCTCCATCCCCGATCCTGAAGATCTGACCCGGACCTTTGACCTGTCCCAATATGACCCCTACGTCATCCACGTCTCGATATCAGCCAACGGCCAGGTCATCGCCACTGACTCGGCTTGGCCCGAACCCCTGAAATACCTCGACTTCCCCGATCGAGGCCTAAACGTTCAAGTTTCCTCCACAGGCAAGCAGCTCACTGTCCGGGCCTCACGCCCCGTAAAAGGTTTCGTTTTCGAGGAGACGGAAGGCTTGAAGTTGAGCAACAACGGGTTCGACCTGATGCCTGGAGAAACGGAGACGGTGGAAGTCAGCGGGAAGATCGCAGCGAAGGAGCTCAAATATACGTACATCGGAGCTCCGGGACCTTCCCTTAGTATCGAGTGAAGCCTTTGAGAGGTTAGTCCAAGGGGGTAATTGCTATACGAAGGAATACCAAATAGAGCAAAATCTCAGAAACGAGCAATTCACAAATGTCAGTATAGACGGGATTAGATATTCATGAATAGCATTCAGCAACTTGGCTGCAGTCGGTAGTTATTGATGTACATCCCAGCTTCTTTGCAAATTATACTTTAAAAAAAAGAACCCTCTCCCGCTATGATAACTCATTCTAGTTTCCCCTGCGGCCCTTCTTCATGGGCGGCGGCGACCTCGACACGCTGTTACTGTATCGCCTCCTCTTCCCTTGTATTGGACTGACTGATCGCTTCCTCGGCGCCCTCGAGTCGACGGACGCCGATCTGTCCCGCTCACCTCTTCGAGGAGGGGTGGGGGATCTGGAGTAGGAATCCCTCCTGGCATTCCGGGCTGGAGGAGGAGAGGAGCTGTTCCGTCTGGCCCGGCGCGGCGGAGGTGATCGGGAGTCGTATGACGGGGATCTGCTCCCAGGTTTTGCGCCGTTTCGTGGGCCCTTGCTCACTGAAGAGCTGTTCTTTCTACCCCGACGAGAGTCAACACTGGGGTCTCGCCCACGCCTAACCGGGCTCGCAGAAGACGAGTTTCTTCGCCTTTTAGGAGGAGGGGATCGGGATCGGCTGTAAGAGCTATATGAGGCACTCCGAGCCCGACGAGGTGGGGGCGACCGAGACACACTCTCGCTGGCAGCGCGCTTCGGTTTTCTGGCCGGGCTGGCAGAGTACGAAGGGCTTCGCCCCCGTCTGCGAGGAGGAGTGGCAGACCTTGAGAATGACCTTGAACGCGAGCGGGAACGAGAACGAGAATCCGAGTAGGACCGGGATCGTCTGTCTCCTCGCGTTGAGCGGGATAGCGAGCGTCCACGATCAACAGCTCTGCGAGGGCTGCGCGAGCGAGAAGATCGAGACGATCCCGTGTACGATGAATAACTTGATACCGAATCAGAGTCCGAGTCATCCCTCGCCGCAGGTGCTGGTAAGGCAGGCTTGGGCATGTTCTGGAGGTACTCTCGGGACTCCTCGGTCAGAAGACCCATGCCGATACTGGTGAAGTAGTTGATGGAGAACCGGATGTTGCGCGGGTTGTCCCTAGGGAATAGTCCCTCCAAATTAGGTCGTACCATGTCGTCAGTCAGCTTAGCTTTCAACTTAGGCATGCCCGTCTCCTCTGCAATGTGCTGAAAGAGAATTTTGATGAAAATACGGCTGCTGGATGTCGTTTCATCCTCGTTCAGGTGAATAACAGACAGCGCGTGCCAACCAAGGGCATCCACAGCAAACATGTGGCCAAAGAGCATAGCAATGTTCCGCAGCTTGTTGTTCTCGTATCGATGGATGGTCTCGTAGTAAGTAGCAAATGCCTTCTCAAAGAGATCACACCAGAGGCGGTTGATCTTGGCGAAACGCTCTCCAATCAAACCGAAGAACTTGGTGTACGTCTTCTCCTGAGAACAACATTCGACAATCATCGAGGGAAGCTCAGGCTCCTGGCCGGCAGGCAAGTTGATCTTCATCAACTTGTGGACGGCTTCTTCGGGGTCGGCGCTGGACATGATGGTGAGGTAGATTGTTCTCCTCAGGTTCACCAAGTCGGCGTTTGTCTGGTCCTTGATCTCCATAGCCTTGGTTTCTTCCTCCTCCTCCTCTTCCTCAGAGCTTTCATCCTCGTCGTCCTCGTCGTCTTCGTCATCGCTACCCTCGCCGAGGATCTCAGCCTTGAGCTTCTTATACTCCTCCTCGTGCTCCTCCCAGTCGGGATCGAATTTGAACACATTAAGGCCGTCCTGAACATCGATTTGCCCATCGAGCTCGACGTTGTGTGTCACCTGGTCCTCCTCCTCAACCAGATCGAGCTCCTCCTTGACAGCCGGGTTGTCCTTGAACTTGTCCTTGCGAACCTGGAAGAGAACCTCGATCATGTATTGCGTTCGCTTGTCGATGTCGGCCTCGTGTAGGATATTTCGGAACTGGTCAAACACCACCATCGAGATCGAAGCTTGCATCTCCTCCAAGTACTGCCCGACCTCGCGGCAAAAGCCAACCGCAATCTCAACACTGTCATCAGACGGCTTATTCAGTAGCGTTAGAAGGATCTGGCCAGCCAGAATCTCGTGTTGGACCTGTTGATTGATCAAGTGCGCCAGGAAGGTCGTCGACGACAAGCACACGGCCTTGTCGTTTCGCTTGTAGCCCTTCCGGAACTGCATGACTAAGCGCCTGATGAGAAGCTCGCCCACCGTGGGCAGCTTCGTGTTGACAATGGCCGCCATGGCGGCGTAGATGGGGGTGAAGGGCAAACTGGCCGCCTGCGCCTTCATGATGGACCGGCAGAACAGCCCCCGGCCGCGGATGAGGTTCTCGCCAAAGAGCTCCGGCACGATGAACTTGATGTTTGCCGTGTTGACCTTGTTGATGAGACCGTTGATGCTCTTCTTGAGCGCCTCCCACGCCATGCGCTGGTACTCCTTGCTGGTCTTGTCCGTGATCTGGGCCTGGAGCGCCCTCAGCCGCGCCGGAGGGATGTAGGTGCCTCCGGAGCGCATGTTCAGCAACTTCTCGTACTCTGCCTTGGCTGCGGCTTGCTTCTCCTCTTCAGTCCGTACCGGAGGGGGTGTTCGGGCTCGAGGGGCCGACGGCCTGTACGAGTCACCGCCGTCGCGCCGCCCGCGACTGGGCATGTCGACCTCAGCCGACGCCATCGTCGCTGAATCCTCAAATCTGCCTTCGAAATGCTAAGGACGCGATCCTCTAAACGTTCTTTCGCGGCGCCGTGAAGGAAGACGCTCCGATCTAAGAGGGTGATCGATGGCTTGGATACAGGGGATGCTGATCGCGAAGAGGAGGCGCATCACCAGACGGTGTTGCGTTGCGTAGAACCACGAAAAAAAGTTAAAGCACGGGCCAAGTGACAGATGCCTTGTTACCAGCCACACAACGACCCACCACAGCACACGCCACACAAGACCCGCATTTAATATGCACTGTCTGTCTGTCCCCTGAGTCGCGTCGGCTGCTCTGCTCGCGAATTTGGCCAGCTAATGAACTAGAGCTGACCCCTGGCCGGCCCTTAGAATCGCATCACCATCATTCAAACTACATCGCCAGTTCTGCCCAGCAATCCACCCCAGGGCAACCCGCGCCTCTCCTCTCGCATCAATTCGCCTCCCCTCCGTCTCTACAGCTCTCCATCTCTCTCAACAATGGTATTTCCCCTTCACCGCCCCTCGCCTGTGAAACGCCAGGCACTCTCACACTCCCCGTTGACGAAGCCCCTCCATGGCTAACAAACCACACCAACCCTCGATTAGTTGGACAGACTCGTCGGCCTCGCCATGCTCGTGGCTGCCTCCGTCATCTTTCTCTACTACACCGTCTGGACGCTTCTGATGGTTCGTTCGCACCTACATCCCCACCGCCTCGACACTGGCTCTTCGTGGCATTTCCTTGCAGCGAGAACATAAACTAGGATGGGCCAGCTAACTCGAGCCTTTTCCGCAGCCGTTCGTCGATGACGACCACATCCTCCAGAACTTCTTCCTCCCTCGCGTCTGGGCCATCCGCATCCCCGTCATCCTCCTCCTCGTCGGTTCCGCTGTCGTGGGCTCCTTCCTGGGCGTCGTCATGATCCGCAGCAACAGGAAGAAGGCAGCAAAGGCCAAGGCGGCCGCGAAGAAGAAGGCGTAAATGGGGTTGACTAGAAGAGCTCCCGGTGGGAACCGCGGACGAATCACCCGCCATCAAGTTGAGGTCCTTTTCCACCCTTGGCTGATAACGACATATCAAAGCTGGTCATGGCATGTGAAACTCATCCATCACCATGTCTTTTGAATTAATTCATAAAATTAAGCCATTATCCCGCATCTGGAATCTCTAGGTGATATACTTCACTGTGATTTGTATCATATCCAAGGACCAAACAATCACACAGGGGGAACATGGGTGGATAGATAGAGGAGCGTATTGCCACTTAGTTACCTACTGAGTCTTCAATCCAAAAGATCACAAACCAACCCAAGAAAGAATAAGCTATGTAACACTTTCCCAAGCCGTGGGGTAAGGGGTGTTCATCTCGATGCTAGCCATCGATCCATGTATAAATTACTCGCACAACGCCTTCCAATAGCCGAGAACCCATAAAAGAACCACGATAACAGTGTCGGTAAAACACAAGATCTCGAAGTAGGATAATACGCCAGCTAAAATACTGACGGGCTTAAGTCTGCCTGTTCAGCCCTTAGACTCTCTGGTCAGCAAAATCGAGAACCTCGCAATCATCCTCAAAGAAGCCGTCCCCCTCTGCATCACCTTGCCGAGCAGTGCGTCGCTTCCTCGTCGTGACTACGATTTGCTCCTGATCTCCATACTCCATAACACGCTCCATCGCCGATGGAGGGAGAGCTTGGTCGTCAAGCCCTTCGAATCCATCGTCGCCTGTTATTGGCAGGATGCCCAAGTCAAGCTTCACGACTGGAATATCCTGCCCAAAGGCCCATGCAGACGCAATGCCTGCCTTCTTGATTTGATTGTTGGGGGATGCAGATTGTTGCTTCCCCTTTTTCTTTTTCGGGGGAGAATTCTCTGTAATCTCGACGTTTTCAAGGTCGGCCACTAGTGAGTCCATGCCGCCCGGGTCACCTTGGCGAGTGTATTCGCAGAGAGCAACACGCCTATCTGTATGGAACGGCTGATAAGGCGCGCTGGATTCGATCTCTGCTTGGGGAATAGCTGCCTCAAAGCTCTGGTCGTCAGCTCTCATGCGAGGACGAGGGAGGGTGACGGTATTTTCAGCCTCCAGATCCCTGTCTGACAAGTTGAAAACATCATCAGGCATTCCTAGGTCCAAGATCTGGCGGATAGCCGGGGCGATCACATCATCGGGCAGCGATGGTAGGTTAATATCTTTGTAGCGGGACGCTCGTCGGGTTGGCTGGCTCGACGAACGCGGCACCTTGTTGGGGAAGATGCGAATAACCCCGCCACCTAGAATATAAAGGCTGTGTGACTTTCGTCCCCTAACCCATCTAACACATGATGGCCCTGGTGGTGAAGGACTCGACGGCAGCGACACGCGATTCTCAGCTGTGTTGCGGAGTTGGCTTATGGCAGTTCCAGTTTTACCCAGCGAACTACTAATGCTGGCCGCAATGACTCTTCCACCATGCGCTGCAGAATCCTTGAATGTATTTGCATTTCCTGTTGAAGGACTCGCGCTCTTTCGTCTCGACCGCGCAACAAACGGGCGAGCAGCCTGATAAGCAGCGCCAAAAGCACCTGCAGCGATAGATACCGCAGAATTCGACGACGTTTCGGCCGTCTCTGAATTAGCCTCCGGGACAGCCTTGCGTCGCCTTGGAGGCGGCCACATGGAAGCACTGAAAGGCATTTCGAGCAAATGCACAGTTCCCCTTTCCGTGAGCACAGCGAGGGACTCTCCGTGAGGCTCGGCCCAAACAACATCCACTATCCGGGCAACTGTCATTCGAGAGAAGTGTGCGATCTGGCGAACCTGAGGTCCAGCGCTCTCGCCAGGTGAAACGCTAGCCTGGATCGGCGATGATTTGGTGTATTGGATGCGGAGAAGATCCCACACATTCTGTACATCGCCTTTGCTGCTAGCCGTGAACAGCGCGAGGGAGGTCGGGGCAAAGGACAAGAAGCTGCACCCCTGCGGCGGCACAAAGCTTGTGATTGGGTGCACTGTCGACGACACAGCCAGAGACTCGGCATCCACAATGGATACAATTCCTGGCTCCTTAGGCGCAGACTGTCCTGGAGTACCGTGGGTTGGCGGGAACTGAGCTGTTGGCGGCGGTCGTGCTGCCTGCGACTGCGGTTGTGGGCTGGGGGATTTGTTCCAATAGGCATTCCACGCCTGTAGCCCTTGCTGACCAACCCATTTTGCACCAGAGATGAGCTCTTGCGTTGTCTCACGCATGATCTTATTCATGATACTATCTGAAATCAGATCCACGGAGGCCGTTGCAAGGGGCAGCTGGGGAGGTGTGAGACTCAAAGCGGTGTTTGATCGTCCAAGCAGAGGAACCGGAACGTGGGCCTTGAGCGATAGTTGTGAAGATGGCGCCGCAGGGCAATAGGCGATCCAGCGACCGTTGAGTGCAATGATGGGGGTTGGGTCGGCAGATCGCGAAGGAAGGCCAGAGGCGTGTGTCTTATCAGAGCCCTCTGGAGTCTCTGTCCGACGCCTTTGCTGGGTACATGTCCAGAGTTTCCCGACGCATGCAAATACCGACTCGTTCTGGGGCTCGAGGAGCTGCAAGTACACCCAGCACTCACCAGTCACGCCCGAACAAACAATGACTGTGCCTGCGTCAGCCTTGATTGTCAAGGAGCCGCTGGGTGGGGGAGGCTGAAAGATGGGGCTTGTCAGGGAAACGGCTGTGCTGATGGGTATCTGTGGTGATTGCAGCAACGTGTCCACCAACTTGTTCGTTTTCAAAGAATATATCTGGACAGAAGTCTGATACGCCTTGATTGATGTGGACGATTGCTGGCCTAGAAGGCCCTCGGGCGGGCCAAATGCAGAGCGAGGACTAGCAGCGCCATCGAGTCGCGGGCTTGGGTTGTTGCTCAGGTCGGGAGCAGCTTCGGACGAACCCGAAGGAATCACCGGGCCGTTAAGAACAACTGCGATGAGGGGGAAGATGCCCCTTTGCTCGCCAGTGACGGTCCATGGTAGAATCTTGGCATGTACGACGCCGCCCCGAAGCCCCTTAAGCCCGGCAACAGGCTCGATGCCCTTCTTCGAGACCGCATAGACGTCCAGGCCACCTTCAAAGCCCGCAATTACAACGTTGTCTGCCGCACCCTGCACGCCACCAATCCCAGGTAGGCTGTCAAACCCAAAGAAATAGCCCCGGTCTCCGGGAGTGATGCCAGACCGTGGTCGAAGTGTCAAGTCAAGATCCGGAGCTCCGTAATAGTGCGGTTGCGGCTGATGCGGGAGTGGAGGATGCGAGCTGTTGCGGGCATGCGAGAGCTGAGAGTGCAGAGAGCTCCTCCTATGGGCAGCTGACGACATTTGAGGCAGCGGCTCAGGATGCTGGTAATGGGCCTCCAGTTGGAAACTCAGCGGGCGTCGTATATTGTTTGGGGGAGACAAAGACGCAGGGGATGGGGTCGCAAGTGCTCTCTGAGCAGGCCAGCCACTGGGAGCGCGAAGAGACGAGTCCTCATACGAAGAAGGTTGTGTTGGGGGCGAGTCGCCCATGATGGAGATGAGATTACCTGGGGAGCCAGCCATACCGCCGGCCCTGGCCCAGTCATTATTCATGCTTGGGACAGTGCTTGCAGATATCGAAGCGTTGGATATGGCATCCAGCAAAGGCGATGGTGATTGTATCGCATTGTCAGTGACAGAAGTCGGCCTCAACACGTCAGGGGTGTTAATGGGAGGGGTCGACTCGGTGGAAGTGGGCAGGCTCGGGTTGGTTGAAGAGTTGTCACTACTTCCGTAGCTCTGGTTTCCGTTGGACAGGCTATAGTTGTGGACGTTAGCATCTCTGGTCAGCCAACCAAGGTCAGGGAGTCACGGGGCAGGCGAGATGACCAAGAGACCAAGAGACAAGAGTCACTCGGCGGGGGAGGGGAGGTGCGGTACTCACGCGAACTTGCCAGCAGTCTGCTCTGTCACCGCCGCAGCGATGCCGCTATGGTTTTTGGCATGCTTCTTGTCCTTCTCTAGTGCGCAGCCTTGTTAGTCGGAAAATCCATGTGCAACGACTCCCGTGAAGAAGGAGCAGTCGCGTCACCCAGTCATGGCTCTTATCGCAAGCCGCGGTATTGGGCGATCGTGGAGGGGGAGTTGCACGTACTAGGCATTCAAGCGAGTGATTCACTCCAAGTCGGAGCAGTTGCCTGCTCCCAAGATCCAGTACTGCCACAAGCGATGTGCAGCGATACCAGTCTTGGTTACTTGGAACGAGTGTTTTCTGTGTTCTGTTCAAGGCGCGGTGTCGGGGGGTTGACGATACGGCTTGGAGGGGCTCTCTACTTGGCGAGGGCGGAGCTTAATTAAGATAAGGGAGGCCGATGGTCCAGTATCAGTCTGGTAGTATGGATTCGGTCGGGGTATAAGATATATGCTTCAGACCGCGGCGCAGCCACGGAGACGGTGACAGAAATTCTATGATGGATGCAAAAAGATACAAATGGAAATATACAGAAGAGATATGAGAGAGAGACGCTTCCTAAATGCTGGGTTTTGCTGCGAGCTTGTTTGGTTTGTCTGGTTTGGTATAAGGAGGAGACAGAAACGACGGAGACGGAGCAAGGGAGATGGTCAAGCTTGAATAATAGGGACCTTGCGGCCTGGAGGCCAAAGGCGGGGCGAGGCTTCAGGTATCAGTCACGCCGGGTACAGTGGACAAGAGGCAGGCACACGCCCCTCCTCAGCCTGGACTAGCCCCCCAGCTGCCTCCAGGAGCACCAGCCCAGTGAGGTTGTTCTATCAGACGGGAGTGACACCAGACCTACAACATGGACCCCTGGAAGTACCGGCCAGCCGCCAGCAATGCGGGGGGCATCTCTCCTGGCGTCTTCAGATGCTTGTAGCACAGCACACTCATGCTCATTATCCCGCAGCGGTTCCTCTTCTACGTGTTCCATCATATCATGGTGAGTGTTGCTCATCCCGCCGTCCGCCGTACCAACTCCCAGTCCCAGCC